CCCGCCACTTTCAACCGACCCTGCGTATCAGCTCCGTAACCCTTGCAGCCTGTCAAAAATCTCGGCGTCTCCACACCATACCAAACCAGACCACACATCCATCAAAGCCGCAACCCTACGTTCCAACCACATCGCTTTACCCCTGCCGCTCGTCGTTCCCTCCCAACCCCTCTCTCCGACCTTAAAGTCCAAGTGCTTCTCACCTCGAAACCGCCCGCGCTTACTGCCTCTCTCCCTTCAACGCTACCGAGCGCATTGTGGCTGTCTGCTAGACCAAGCTCAACGGCTCGCCGAGGTTCCTCCAACTTGATCGACCGGCTTCGGAACATGCCGCTGGATAAGAGACTGGTTGACACCTCCCCTACATTACATAACCGATCCATCCTCGTCCCCTTGCCGCACCCCTTCGCTGCATGAACGGACTCGTGCTGCCAACCGGCTCTAAGCAGCCTCTTCGAGGCGACGCCTCCCTCTCCATCTCGCCGCCAGCGCAGCTCAAGCAAGAAGGATTTCCGCTTCGACCCGTCGTCAAATCCGAAGCCTCCTCGCCTGTCTCCCCTGCGGTGGCCTCGTTCGATGTTCGGGCCACAGCCGACGATGCTCATCGACGCTTGCCCTCGCCTCAGTCGCGCGGCCCTGCGAACCCGCTGACGACGCGATGGACCGCACATCAGCCAAGCTCCGCCCCGAGCTCAGCAGCTGCACTTGCATTCATCCCAAAGACCGCACGCAACTCTGCCTCTGTGCAGAAACCCATCCACCAGTGCTCCGAGTTTGAGCTCGAGCAGAGGCTCGATCGCAATCAGCGCATCCTCTCCGCTCTCGAAGCTACCCAGAGTCCCACCAAGGAGCGATTATCCGTAGAGGCCGAAGCCATCCGAGATGCCATCCGTTCGCTTCGCGCTATGCGAGACGTCAACGAAGCCATCTCCTCGGTTCAGCTCAACGACCCTTCCAAGCAGGCCGACTTGGAGTCTGCTTTGCTCGGCCTTTCGGTGAAGGAGGAGGACTATCTCGGTACTAGCCCGCCGGCGGAGGCGTTCGGTTGGACTCGCGACACGCTGGCGGTCAAGAAGCGGCTGGCGCAGGCATCGGGCGCCTTCCTGCCCGGTCGAAAGGTGCAAGCCATGGGCTTTGAACAGTCGCTTGCCATCCAGTCGGCAGCTTTGCTCGCAGAGCGCGAGCGAGAACGCAGGACGGACGAGCTGCGCGCCAAGCCAATGCCCGCATCACGCGAGAAATCCTCGTTGGGTGTTCCTAGCGGCGCCGCGCACAGACTCGGCCGCAAATCCATCTCGTCTTGCTCTGGGTCGATGCGCAAGCACTCCATGTCGGGCTCGGCATCGCCACCCAAGGCTCAGCGAGCTGGCGGGCCATTCGCGCGCCACGCTGATACGGCTGAGCTCGAGGCCAGCGAGAGCGACACCGAAGATGTGGATCTCTACGCTGCAAACGACGACGATGACGACGCAGAGGTAGACCCCCATCCCGGCCCACGCCACGAGGACGAGGGGTTCAGCTTCGGCCGCATCGAGGAAGAGTATCCATAGCTCCGCCCAGCGTCTCCGCCATGCACAGGCAGGAACACTCGTTCCAACAACATCCCCCGTCATCTGCATCTCTCACCACCTGTCTGCCTCACTGCACCGCATCTCCTCACGCATAGCATCTGCCGCAAAATTGTACTGTATCGTCGCTTCTCCTGCCTGTCAGTCGTCTTCTCTGCGCGACGCGATGAGACTGAGCCACATCTAGCCAGGGCGGCTCACATGTGCCAAGGTTGAAAGATCTATTTCGCTGCGATTGAAGGGTGGTGGATTGAAAATGAGCCGATTCCTGGTGGTCAGTAGGGACGATGATCAGTAGGGACGGGCAGCGGCCTGGCAGGCCTTGAGCTGCTCGAGGTAGTACGAGCAAGAGTTCATATCGTTTGCTGTTCATTCCAAGGAGCGAGGTCAGTGTCATGCTCATGCTAAGTAAGCCGATTGGAGGTGGTGGTTGAGACTCACTGCTCTCGAGGCACTTGATGAAGTCCTTGCTCTGCGATTCGCAGCTTGCGCCGATGTTCTGCTGCTGCGAAGCGTAGGCACCCTGGTCGTAAGCCTGGGGAGCGGGCTGCTGCGCCTGCTCAGCCGGGGCGGAGCTAGAGCCACCGAAGAGCATGTTGGAGAGACCGTGGCCGACGGTGGAGCCGACGGCGACACCAGCGGCGGTGGAAGCCATCTGGCCGAAAAGACCGGGGCTGCGCTGCTGCTGCATGGCGGGAGGCTGCTGCGAGTAGGCCTGAGGCGGTGCCTGGTGGTGCTGCTGGGGAGCGGCCATGGTGTGCGCACCTCGCGAGCCCGAGGGCGCAGAGGGGGCAGAGCGACCAGCTGCAGGGCGGGAACCACCGGATCGGCTAGAGCGGGGCATGTTAACGAGTAGAGCGCAAAGAAGGAGATGACAAGGTCGGTGTTGGTGGTGGTTTGCAATAGAGGAGCAACGATGCGGCCAGAGGAGGTTTGGCTCAGCCGAACGCAACTCTGGGGGCAGAGCCGGCCGGGCAAAAACGTGCCGTTGGGCCAATCCTCAGCTGAGCTTCCAAGCCACTCTTCGAGCGCCTCCGAGACCCTTTTCCACCGCTCTCTCCACGTTCTGTACTCGAATCGCCACACTACGCGAAGCGCTTTGCCCGATTGGTCCGATGCGCCATTTTCAAAGTGGAGCGCGCCTCGATCACAGCTCAGCGCCGCGACAGCCTGCCCATCCGCTCCTCTGCTGCTCGAGCCGTTGAGCGTTGTGTTGCTCCACTTGCGCGTCTCGGATTTCCAGCTGTGGCCACGCACACACCCACCCGCAACGTCGAGCACGTCCTCACCATCTCCTTCCTGACTCCACATCACACGATCGCGACTCTCACACCTCTTCACTCGCCACCAGGTCGCTACACTTGATTGTCTGGAGACTGTCCATCGCCCGTTGATCCACGACTTCTTTCGGAAGGGCGCCAATCGAGCTGCATCCATCTCCAATCGGTCCACGATCCATCTTTCCGTCTATCGCAGGTTTTCTCCGAAAGCACCCTCCTCAAACCGATAGGCATCTCATAACAACACGATGGAGGAGCTTGGAATCGCCTCGCTGAGGCGCACAGAACCCACGCTGGAGGATGCGGCAGCGGAGAAGGCTGCAATCCACCAGGAGATGGCCGCCGAAGAGGACACGTATCTGCGCTACAAGAAGTTGCAACAGCACCTCGAGTTCCTCAACACCATGGAAGAGTACGTCAAGGACGAGCAGCGCAACTTGAAACGCGAGCTTGTCCGCGCACAGGAGGAGGTGAAGCGCATCCAGTCTGTCCCTCTTGTCATCGGCCAATTCCTTGAACCCATCGACCAGCACACCGGCATCGTCGGCTCCACCACCGGCTCCAACTACGTCGTCCGCATCCTCTCCACCATCGACCGCGAGCTGCTCAAGGCGAGCTCGAGTGTGGCGCTTCATCGCCACTCGAATGCGCTCGTCGACGTGCTGCCACCAGAGGCCGACTCGTCCATCGCCATGCTCGGACAGGATGAGAAGCCCACAGAGACGTACGCGGATATCGGCGGCATGGATATTCAGAAGCAGGAGATCCGCGAGGCGGTTGAGCTGCCGCTCGTGCAGTTTGACCTGTACCGTCAGATCGGTATCGACCCACCACGCGGCGTGCTGCTGTACGGTCCTCCAGGTACGGGCAAGACGATGCTGGTAAAGGCAGTGGCCAACGCTACTACGGCAAGCTTCATCCGCGTGGTCGGCTCCGAGTTTGTGCAAAAGTACCTTGGCGAAGGTCCGAGGATGGTGCGAGATGTGTTCCGTCTGGCGCGCGAGAATGCACCCGCGATCATCTTTATCGACGAGATCGACGCGATTGCCACCAAGCGTTTCGATGCACAGACGGGTGCGGATCGCGAGGTGCAGCGTATCCTGCTCGAGCTGCTCAACCAGATGGACGGCTTCGACCAGGGCAGCAACGTCAAGGTCATCATGGCCACCAACCGTGCCGACACGCTCGACCCTGCGCTGTTGCGACCCGGTCGTTTGGATCGAAAGATCGAGTTCCCCACGCCCTCGCGACGAGAGAAGCGTCTTATCTTCCAAACAATCTGCGGCAAGATGAACCTCAGCCCCGAGGTGGACCTGGAGGACTACGTCGGAAGGCCCGACAAGCTCTCGAGCGCCGAGATCGCGAGTATCTGCCAGGCGGCCGGCCTGCAGGCGGTGCGCAAGAACCGATACGTCATCATGCCCGAGGACTTTGAGGAGGCCTGGAAGCAGATTGTCAAGAAGCCAGACGACTCCAAGATGGAGTTCTACCAGTGATCACCGCGCCACATCCGGCTCAGTACATGCAATGCAACCTTTGTCTCAGTGGTGCGGGTTGACGCTCTGTGATTCGTTTTCGTACTCTGCCTGAGAACCAATATCTGTGGGACCCATCTAGCGCAAGTGCAGCGCAGAGTGCTCCGGCTGTATGACTTCGATGTCCAGCTGTAGAAGAGCAACTTTAGCGGAAGACTGGTGAGCATGTTGAGCTTTGAGGTCAGCCGTAAGAGGGACCATGGTGCACGGGTTCTGATTGGGTCGCGACGGGCAGCTGCGCGAAATGAAAAATTGGTCACTGAGCGCGGCGCTCTCTTGGCCCAGCTTTCATCCCTAGGTTCCTTCCTTTCGCACCACATCCATCTCAAACCTTTGCGATACTTCTCTAAAGCTGCGCAACAATGTGCGAACAACATTGCGATTCCTGAGTTCCCAGTCACCAGCATTCCCGCCTTGCTCAACCTCTGCCCCGGTTCCTGCGCAGTCGACGTCCCCCTGCCAGATCCCTTCTCATCCCCCTACCTCCGCCCCTCGCCTGCTTCCTTCTTCCGCAGCTCTCAGCCTCACTGTCTGTGCAAGGAACCTTTCGCTGCCGTGTTTCTGCTCCGCCTTGCCTCCTCGACCGGTCTTGTTGCTCCGTGAACTCCCATCCGCATCTTATAAAATTTACTGCTCGGTGCTGCTCACGCCGAGTGGTTTACGGAAAGGTGCCAGAAGGATACCTGCCTACTCTACGGGGCGGCGGGCGAATCCCATGCTTACTCACGGCGAAGGCCCCCTTCGTGGGCGTCGTGGCCTTCATCGTCCAAGCACCGAGTCTACTTTCACTTTCACTCTGGGTACATTTTCTTCCCTACAATGCGAATTGCTTGTCAGTAGCCACAGATGGGATGCGGAGCCAAGTGTGATGTACGATGCACTGCTGGATCGGAAGCGACATAGAGAGCGTGGCAATGGTCCGGTTGTGGTGAGTGACCGAGAGACGAACGAGGCCATAATGTGGACCTTTTGAGGGGGTTCGAGAAGAAATCCGTCGGGTGCAGATCTGATCCTAGCTAGCTGAGAAATTGTACATCGGGCGATGTTATCTGACCGAGTCATGCGAGGACGGGATTGGACGTGTCTAATCGTGAAATCAGGCGGGGGGCGGCTGAGTTGCCGGCATCTTCATGCGGGTCTTCGCGAAGATCCGTTCGCCGGAGCTTGCTGGACGCACAGCACGCACCTGCTTCTCCCCACCCACCGCTCCCATCACCTTCTCGACCCACCATACTTTCCCCAACACTCAAGGGCACTAAGATTCACACAGAATGCCGGCATATACACTAGCGGTGATTGGATGCGGCACGATGGGTGTTGCCATCCTCTCGGGCGTGCTGGATTCGCAACGGTCGCAGCAGGCGCTTGCCTCGATGGCATCGTCCGTCTCCTCGCTCCACGACTCGACTGCCGGCGACGACCTGACCGAGCTTCCCACTCGCTACATCGCCACTGTCAACCGTCTCGAATCGGTGCGAAGGCTGAAGAAGGTGTTTGCCGACTACCCGGACATTGCGATTCACGCGGGCAAGAACGTGCAGGCGGCGCAGGAGGCGGATGTGATCTTGCTCGGATGCAAGCCGCAGATGGTGCAGGACATCATCGCCGAGCCCGGCATGCGTGAGGCACTGGACGGAAAGCTGGTCATCTCGATTTGCGCTGGCTTGCGCATCTCGCAGATGGTCGAATGGGTGACTCCCGCCACCAAGGTGGTGAGGGCCATGCCAAACACCCCCTGCAAGATCCGCGAGGGCATGACGATCCTCACCCCGCTGCCGTCGTCGTTGCCAAACGCAGAGCTGGATCGCAACATTCTGCTGTCCATCTTCAGCGCTGTGGGCAGGTGCAGGTTCCTGGACGAGAAGCACTTTGATGCATGCACGGCGCTTGCCGGGTCCGGACCTGCCTTTGCCTGCGTGTTCCTCGAAGCCATGGCTGACGGCGGAGTGATGATGGGGTTGCCGCGACAGGAGGCGCTCGAGCTTGCCGCACAGACCATGCAGGGCGCAGCGCGCATGGTGATGCAGAGCGGCATGCACCCGGCGGCGATCAAGGATTCCGTCACAACCCCAGGCGGCTGCACAATCGCCGGCCTGCTCAACCTCGAGGACGGCAAGGTCCGAAGCACGGTCGCGCGCACCATCCAGGCTGCAGCCGAACACGCAAGCGGCCTGGGCCAGGCCAAAAAGTAGAACCACAAATCCATCTCTTTACGCGCAATACACAGTCCATCGCATACTCTACAACCCACGACTTCCGAGCTGGCTCACGTGGAGACTTCCTGATTGCTACGACTTCCATTTACAATGTATGCGTAATCTGACTCTATGTCTAGGAGGCAGGCGACTAGGCCTTGCAGATGAGGCCGTCTTCGTCGAGGACGGCGAGCTGGGCACCGAGGCACCAGCCTAATTCGGTGCCGCCGAGTTTCTTGGCGACGCTGATCTCGCGGCTCTGCTCGAGCTCGTAACCGAGGCTGAGAAGGCCGTGCATGAAGCTGAGGTCGAGGCACGTTTCGGGTCGGTCCTCGAGCTCTTCGATCGCACGCGCGCCGAAGCCCTGCGTGCTGGTGCGCGTATACGCACACGCGCGCTGCGCCACCGCCTCGAGCTCGCTGATCTTGAACTTGGGCGCGAGCCCCAGCGGTTCCAGACGGTCGTAGAAGTACGAGAGCGCGATGATCGGCGCGGTCTTGAAGGTCTCCATCATTGACGGCTGGTAGACGCCCGCAAACGAGCATGGCTTGGAAGAGCATACGGCATCCTTGTCCATCATCACCTCGACGAGCCGACGACATGCGGCAAAGCCGCCGTCTGTACCGACCATAGTCACGTTGGCCTGTGTGCGCTGCCCCGGCTGCGAGATGAGCACCGCTTTGGTGCGGCCATTGGTGAAGCACGGCGAAGGGATGCGCGTGTTGTCAGGCTTGAGCGTCGACCACTCGAAGCCACCCTGTGCACCATCGTGCGCCGAGCCGGTGAGCACGGCGTTCGGATGCGCCAGGCTGAACGTGAACGCGGCGAGCGAGTTGATCGACATGCGCGCCTGCATCAGACCGTAGCCAAGGTACGAGTTCTGGTAGAGTGTGTACGGCTTGGTGCCAAATGCGTTGAGCTGGTACACATGCTCGCCCGGCTGCATTCCTTGCAGCGCCGAGGTGAAGCTGGGCTCAAACACGATCTGTGTCGAGCCACCGCCAAGGTCCATGACCGCCGCGGTCTCCAACTTGTCGGCGGACGATGAGCCGATGCGGTTGAGCAGATAGTTGACTGTGATCCATGCGAAGACGCCCTCGTCCTTGCCATCCATGATTTCGACGCCCTTGGAGGCCTTGGTGCCGTCGGCGTTACGACCGTCGGCGATGGGGAAGGGGTATTCGAACTCGAGCATGTGTCGAACCGCCTTGAGCACGTCCTCGGCCTGCTTGCCGGGTAGGAGACGCAAGCCTGCGGTGGCCTTGACCGCCACGGGGGTGCATTTGCGCAGGTTGGCGGGA